CTAACCCACTGCACCCTCCCAGTATCCACTAAATAGTTACCAATCAAACCAAGAGTATGGCAACCCTGAGCAGGAGCTCTGATATCCCAGTAATAATACACTGAGTGCATTGAGTAGGGCCAAGAGTTTCTTGCTATTGGTTTCTGCCACATAAATAAATGACCAAAATGAGTTACCTGTATCAGAGGAGTTAAGTGTATCTTCTGTCTCTCTGCTGCTGCTTTCTCTGGTGTTTTCTGAGTGATACTTAATGCAGAGCCTAACACTCAAGTCTGGCGTGTGTGTGAGCAAATGCAGTAACTTTCTTTTTCTCCTACTACTTCTCTAAGTAACTAACATTTTAAAGATCAATTTTACCATTTTCATTTTGCAACAGTAGATAGCATTACTACAGCTTCTTATGTTCCTGTCACATAAACTATTCGCTCTACGCTTAACTATCAAATACAAAGGTTTTTTTTCACATAGAAAATATTCACAACCATTATAAGTTACTTTCCTTTTACTTTGCAACAGTACTATGGAACTCTACAAGCACCTTCACATTTAAAAATCAAATGTCTAAAGTTTCTTGTCAGCAACTTACGAACACATCAATCTGTACAGATGGGAGAGAAAGCTCATCACAAACCAGTTCACGGACTGCTCACCCAAACATCTCTAAATCTTTTAGTTTCAAGGTTACAGGTGTCGTTTCATGGCAGTCAATTTCTACACTTCAGGAGAAAATTAATTTCTCCCACATTTTTGTAAATGCACTTTTACTTATTCCAGTTATCATATATATTGCCTGCAATAAAGTGAATGCACAGGTGCCCAAGTGGAGCAGAGCAACAACTGTTCCCCTCTCATCATGGCACTGCACCACCACGACCAGAAAGACGCTGTCCCGCCACACCAGACTGTAGACCTGATGAGAGGTCTACAAGCACATGGAGGTAACTAATGAATACCCTGCTGAGTTTCTCAGAGAATCTCCCCATCTAGCTGTGGGTTTCCAGACAGTGGAGCTATGATCAGAATGAGCAGCAGCAGAATCACCAAGTGTAAAACATCTCTTCTTTTTTTCCCTGCAGATAAATAGCAAATTAAATTAAACTACATGATGTCTTCTACTCTGTGCCAATTAAACCAATGCAAAGAAACGTTACAAAACTAATCTACAACAATCACATTTACCATTTCACTCCTCCCTAAGGAACAGCTCTAAACTTCTGATGCAACTCAGGATAAAGCCATTTTACCACAGCACAGATTTTTATTAGCTGGTTCCCACTAGATGGGCACTGCAGCCCTCTCACACAATGAAATCAGTAACAGAATCTTTACTGGAAGCCCAGAAACGTGTTTACTTAATATACAAGAAAAACTTATTTACAACAATCAACAGTAAACTATGTACAAAAAAAATACAAGAGACATTTCCATGGTAATCACTGTATAAATTAACACAATAAATAGGAGGGAAGCAGGTCCCATTCTTAAGGCACAAAACCTTCTTCCCAAGACTGTACAGGGATTCACTTGCTTCCCTATGCTTTTGACAGGATCACAGGAACGGCGGGGAGACCCCTGAGGAACAATGGTTGGTAGACGATGATACAGACATGCAGTCACTGCTGACAGTTGTAGAAAAACATCGTTTTTCATCCTTTCCTTTTTCTTTTTACAGTACACACATCTTGAGATACAAAATATTTTGTGTAAACAGTCTTTTTTTCTTTCTTTCTTTTTTTTTTTTTTTAAATCATATAGATAGTATGCACAGTTTTAAATAATACTAAAACAATGAACAAAGCTTTCCATATGATTTGGGTGCAGAAACATTCCCGGGACTGGCACTGAAGGCCTCAGCAAAGCTGGAAGCTCCTGGATGCTTGTGTGGCCCAGCCAGGCCAGCACCTCCGGGCCAAGCTCCCCTCTGCTGCACAGAGCTGGCTCCTGCTGCAGTGGGGGACGGGTGCTCTTACCACTAAGATCCCACAAGCAAAAGCAGAGACTGCATTACTGCCAACAGCCCTCCCAAAGATAGCTCAGAGCAGGACACTGCTGGGAGCTGCTTCACAGGCCAAACCTCCCTCAAGTCTCCATTGCATGCAATCCCATTTAACTGAAACATCACAACACAGGGTACATTATTGCCCAGAATCTGCCATTAAAGTTAAATATCCAGGGCAGTGCCAGAATGTGAGACAACGTACTAAAACCTCTTTCCTAGCAAAAGAAACTGTATGCCCAGCTCACTGCAGACACTGCCCCAGCATCACTGCCAAGGGTGAGGGATAATAAACAGAAGGTGCCCAACGGCTTTCACATGAGAAGCATTTTTCAAGCGACTAAACATATGTGTGGTATATCCACTTCTAGCCTCTCTCAAGCTGGTGTTTTACCTGAGACTGCAGGAGAGTCTCTTTTTTGGCAAAGCAGCAGATTTTTTTACTGTCCAATTGTCTTTCCTGAGTTTCCCTCCCACAAAAAGTTATCAGATGCTGTAAGAGGAACTTGGAATAATGTAGAAGTTCAGCCTAGTTCCCTACTTTGCAGATAGCTGTCACTGACGTTTGAGACAAACTGTCCTCATCTAACCACAAAAACTCTGCAACAGGAATCTGCATGACTCTGAGACATAGAGATACAACCCTTTTGTTAGATATAAGCCTTAATAAATATGCAAAGGCACTCAGGTTAAATGCAAACCCCATTCTTCCAGCTCTTAAAAGAAGGCAGAACTCCCTCTCCACCTCTGGTAAGTAATAGGAATATACAGGCTATGAACCCCTTGATAAAATGTGTGTGTATGTAAGATCTGAACCCATAAACACAACAGACCATTAAAAGTAAAAGAAATGAAGATTGGCCTACGCAGGCACCATCACTCATAGCAGATGGCCATCAGGCTGCAACAAATATGACATGAATTAAGGAACATGCCTGAATAGAAAAACTCTTTGGATTCCCTAATATTACTCTGAGCAGAGAGGAGCCATTTGTATTGAGGCAAGAATTTAATCCCCCAGGAATTATGTGAGGCAAGAGCATATTGGTTATACATCTTTATCCACAAGGTTGCCTGGAGGAAGTTCACAGCAAGAACAGCTCCTTCACCATGCACAGGAACAGAGAGATCTCACCTCTTCTCCAGAGCTATCACCTGCCTTGTGCTCCCTGCTGCGCTCTCCTGGGCAGGCACACGAATGTCCTAACCATGTGCGCTCCTGGGGTCAGGAACTAGGCTGCACCTTAGTGTCACCAGCTCTCCTTAGCGGAGGTTCCTCCTCATTCTCATGCAGACTCTGCTCTGTACCTTAACAAGCAAGTGGGAAAGCACAGTATGTCTACAATTCTTACTTATCTGACACCTCAGAAATTCAGTGCAGTGGGTGGAGGGGAGCTGTACTGATAAAGAAAAAATATGGCTATTAAGGCAATTGCCAATGTACAGATAGGAGAAACAAACTCAGGGCAAAGCTGAACACATTTCTTGCTCAGTCCCCACAGTACTTATAAGCAGAAATTTTGCTAGCTGGATCAAGCACGTTTAGTCTTCTGTTAACTTCTCATGAGCAAACCCTGACACCCAGTAGGCTGAGAGGAGACATGGATGAATGAGAAATAGTTAAAAACAAAAAGAGACAAAACAACCGATGGTGAAACCTTAAAAGAATGCAATGGAATTTGCCCATCATGAAATCAGCCTATAACCTTTTAAAGGTGACAAGTCTACATGAAATAACTTGACTGACTGTTGTTAGACCAGAGAGCTGATGTAAATTTGATAAAATCCTTAAAACCAACGAAGAACAACAGTGTCCTCAGGAAATTACCTTTTATGCCACTGTGTATGTGGCCATTTTTCTGTCTGCAACCATAGCCAGACAGGTCCCATTGTGTAATAATAAAAAAAATAAATACATACAAAATGACAAAGTAATTAAAAATTTCTGTTGTCTCTCCAGCTTTAGAGACTGAATGTCCCCAGATTCCCTTCGCAGTGATAAACATGGCAATAGAACTATGCATGCTGGTCTTCAGGCTTTAACAGTCACCCAACTGGGGTCAGGCAATTCAGTGGAAGTTTGAAGAGTGTCAAGGAACTCTGATTCAGAGGCACTAATTTTTCCATGCTTCACTGCTGGTGGTACCAAAGGCAATTTACCAACAAACTCCAGTTTTCATTACGATGCTCATCTGCTCAGTAACAATCCCCCTCTCAGCGCCCTTACAGGAGCTCTGATGTTTGATAGCGCAGGATCTCTCTCTCAGGGGTACAACCCAGGAGGACTGAGCCACCCTCATCTTTTGTTATCCACCTTGGAGTGAAGGAGTAAAGCAGCAGAGAGAGAAGCAAAGTGGGAAAGCCACTAAAATGAAGACAGGTGAAAAGATGCAGGTACTACAGAGAAATCACATCTTCTGTGACAGAAATAGTTTTCTGCACTACAAGCTGAAGTAAAGAAACAGCTCGGTTGTTTGTGGCCATGAAGGTGGAACTAAATGGGCAGGAAGACGCTGCTGGACATTGCCAGTCATGCTGCTCCCTCCACTAAGACAGCAAATTGTTCTGTATCTCACTCCATTACACTACACTTCTCCACAGCCTGAGCAGCTAGTTAGCATTCCTCTTCCTTTCGCGTGGTCTCCTGAAGATGAATTCAGAAGGTGGAATGTCACAGCTGATCTCCTGTAATCTTCTGGCTCTCCGGAAGTTTGTCTTTTCTTACTGCCAGGAACTTTGGAACAATTGTTTGTAATGCCTGAAAACCTAAAGGTTGTACCACTGCCACCAGCTAGAAGAGGAGAGCCAGGCCCAGCAGAAGACCCCTCAAGCTGGTGCAAACTGCTGTTTGAACCACATGCATTCTTTGTTGCAAGGTGTAAGTGAGTGAGAATCACTGGGTATTCATGGGCAAGAGGTCTGTACTGGCTTTGAATTTCTGATGCAAATCGCATGCAACTACAGGTGCATTAAAAAGGGAACAGTAAGACACAAGGACAAGCTTTGTCCCACTTAAATGCTCTAAGATACAGGTGCGACACAGATGAGGGGAAAAGTTTTGAGTCTGAAAAGACTGTCAGATGCTCCTGAACTATAAGACTGGCCAATATATCTTTTGCCCTGAATAATTCTACTGTGATGAAGTTATCCAGTAAAGGTAGCTGTGTTGCAATTCTCAGGAGTCCTGCATTGTCACTGGAACCAGAACTTCCCACGTTGGAGGACATGGTTCTTCAAACAGCAAGTGAATTCTCTTCTTGGAGGCTCTGCCTGACTGCAGATAATGCGCCTCTTGACTGGATACAGCCGTACCCCACAGGAAAAAAGGTAGCACCATGCTTGGTTGATATGAGCCCTGAACAGCCACAATTTGGCTGTTCAGTAGAGACAGTTGTGAGCACATCTGCTCTGTGAGGTGACTGCTGTACAGTTAGGGGGAATGGTAGACACAGGCTGTGAAAACAGAGGTTAAACCTCGCTGGCAGGAATACTCCGGCTCAGTTCCTTGATCCCATGCAGTATCCTCTTCATGTGACCTACTTTGGTCACACCCAGGTCCTGGAAGAAAAGAGAAAACCTTACCTTAGGAGAAAGGCAAGGGTGGGGAGTTGCAGGTGGCCAAGCAATGGTTACAAACTAGTCAGGCAGTTATAAAGAGAGGAGGAAACCAACCAGAAAGATTACAAACCTGATGGTTATAAATGGAACCTCAAACCATGTGTCAAAAACTATCAGAGCATGACAGGGTAACGAACACAGAACAGGCACAGAGCAACAGAGAAACAACTGCAGACCATTAGCCAGAAATGCAAATTGCTTTGACTGTTAAGACCAGAGCAAGAGAACAGAAAGAGCATACAGATCTCAAGGGCCTAAGCTAGAAGCCAAAACATGCAGGAAGATCCAACCAGTCAAATGTGTGAACACTTGGGCACCATACAGCAAAACACAAGCTGTAGCTGGCTGGCATGCAGAGGAATCAACTACACAGATTACAGCAAACCTCAAAAGGGGAAGATGGTCAAAATCACAAATGAAGATCCAAGAGGTGTTCTGCAAATGCCATGCACTACTTTACAACAAAGTATTTTTCTGCAATATGCAAGTCACCAGCCTGGTGACATAAGTCTCCTGCACATGCAAAGAACCTCCACTTTCAATTTTTCTCTGTAGAGAAAGCATCTCCTGGTGAAGAGATGAAAACATGTGCAGTGTGGTTACTCAGCACTATTTAAAAAGATTCTCTCCATCTAGCAGCCTCATCAGAGCCGTGACCATTTTTTTTTTCTTGTCACTATGAAGTGTGATGATCTATTTGTCCAGTCACTACAACACAAGAACCAGATTTTCCCAACCATAACACATTCTGCAAAGATGGTACGGTAGCTGAGAAGTTGAAATCTTCCATTCCATCATTAATCAGAGACTCCCAGGAACACTACCTACAATCTGTGTGCTGGACTGTATTACATCTCCAGGAAGGTGTGATAGGATTTGACAGCTTGTCCCTCAAGCAGCTGTTCTACCTCCCTGCTAACAAAAATCAGGTGACCTGAAATGGTGGGAAAATAACACGAGGCCTCAATGAACCCATTCATCCTGCCAAGGCATGTGGAATGAACAGCGGGCAGACCACTTCCAAGCACATTCAGCACAGAAGGTCATGCAGATGCAGCTGGCTATTTCTCAGGAGCCAATCATGAAAGTACCTTGAGGTCCCTCCGTTCGAGGTGCAGGAGCTCAGAGCCCCGGACGTCATGCCGGATGAAGATATCCTTATACTCACAAAGACTGAGATGCTCAAGCCAGGCCGCAACCTCCTCCGTTCCCCAGAGGTGAACTGTTAGAGATGGAAAAGCAGGAGTGCATTGAGTACCCAGAATCCCAGAAGACAGTGAGAGATGAGGACACCATCAGCACTCAGTGCCAGAAAAGGAGGGCAAGCAGTACCACAGCCTCAAACCAAGGGGAAGGCAAGGACTGGTAGCATGACCTATGATCTCAAACAAAGGAGGTAGGGCAGAGAAAGGTAAGAGGTGTTCTCTTAAGCAGAGGCTTACTGCAGTAAAGCCAGGAGAAATGCTGCAGGTTTGTTTTAATGGAATTGGATATGGCTTTTAAAGTTTACCATGTTTAAGAAAAGTAAGTTCATTGATATTCCTTTGCTTACAAAACAACAGATTCATGAATATATCATGAAGAATCCAGCACACATTAGTTTGTTATTATGTACAAGCACTTGTGCTCAGAAAACGTAATGGCAACCTCTCTCCCCATGGTTTGAGGCAGAGAGGAAGAGTTTAGACTTCCATCTTCTTGCACAGCCTCTAAATAAGAGAATAATAAATGTCCCAAGATCTGGGAGACGATGAATGAGCACCAGCCTGTCAGACAGGAGACTGTACCCAGAACTCCATGGCAGAAGTCAGGACCCAGGAACCCACAGAACAGGTAGTACTTCTGAAGTTTAGAAGAAAGTCTTCATAAGGAGAGTATAAACCAAAAATCAACTAACCCAATTGGAGAGAAAATTTCTTTGTGATTCATGGCCAGTTTTTATCTACTGACCAGTAGGATTAAAGGTCAGGGTGCACCTGTGGTGATGCTGATCCCCAGCCAATTAGACATGAAACCTGATTAAAGCCTGAGGGTGAATCAATGAGAAAAACATCATTAACCATATCACAGAGAATTCAGAGAATTAGCAGTGCAAAGACTGGAGTAATGCAGACTTGGGCCCCACAGTCATTTTGATATCTAAAATGCCAAAACTCTCAAATTCACTTCACTAAGCACCCCCTAAAATATCCCTGAAAATGTCTGGATGTAGGCAGAATTCTTCAGAGGGTACCGCCTGTTTCTGCTCAGGAATGTTTGTGTGGTACTGGGGGATTTGGATGGAGCGGAGCAAGAAGCTGCTTTGCCACATGAAAAAGACAGACTAGACCTCCAAGAAAAGGCAGATTCACGTAAAACAGAAGAAGAGAACTTGAGAGGAAACAGACAGAGAACAGCTAGTGGTGTGACCACACTGATGTAACAGAGACACAGTGAAGGAGCAGACGCGGTACCCGGCAATCCCATGCTACTATGAGTCTCCTTGTTTTTGTTGTTCTTCTCCTTTTTAAACTTGGTCACCAGCCGGAATTTGCCACTGCGGCTGCGTTTAGAATAATCCAGCATCTGGTTCTGTAAGAACAAAAAGGGAAAATCAGGCAGTCATGCATTGAATGGAATGGACCAAGACAAACAAGTGCTGTCAAGCTCAGCTCCCTGACCTTGTAAGAGAGGAAAAAATTCTAAACGCATTCTGATCAAGACAGGAAAGGAAACAGGGAAAGTTGATCCCATGTCAGGCAAGGGACCTTAGCAGGAAATTACTTTCTTTAGCCCTAGGGAGTCAAGTTTCCTCTTTAATGATTTTTTCTCACATCAGTCGTATTATTCACAGGAAGTCAAACACTCAAAGCCAACTAGTGAAAAAGAGAACAGCTAGGGAAGTACAGCCTTGGTCCTCCTCACCTCTTCATCACAAGGCTCCATAAGCTGCCACAGCCAAGGGATGTCTGCCAGTTTCCTCAGCTGGAGGTCCATGTCTGCCAGGGCTGCTTGGAGCTGCTCCTTCTGTGGAGGATCTAATTGCTGGATCAGAAATGGAAGCAAAGCAAAGTTAAAAGCCATATGGCACAACACGCAGTCAGGCCCTTGCCTTGAAATTTCTAGCTAACAAACCAATTCCTTCTTTTAAAAGGAAAGGCACAGCAGACACTCTGCCCAGACATTACCAAGTTAACAATTTTCATCTTTTCTGAGCTCCAAATTCCACACAAGTCAGTTTGACTGCTCATCACGCCTATGTAGCAACACCATCCTAATTCCTGGATGGCACCATTTAAACTGACTTGTTACAAAGATGACTGAGACCAGGCAAAATGTTGCTTGCCAAGGCAACAGTAGGAGAGGAGAGAAAGTGAGAGGCTGCTTTACTTCTGCTTTGTGCTTCTTACCAGTGCCATCTTGCCTGCCAGCAGCAGCTCTGTCTCATTATGCAGGGCTTTGACATTATTCACCATCTCTACAACAAGGCTGCAGTTCAGACCCTGCAGGGAAGCAATTCATGTGCAAATTAGGCCTGGAAATGCAGAGGTCTGAGCAGTCAAAAGGAAGAAGTTCTAGACAAGCAACGCCTACTTTTGGTCAATCAGAAAGAAAAACCAAGAGCTATGGAACAACGACAAAATGGGAGATGCCAAGCGAGTGAAGTACCTCTGTAGACTTGGATTTAGCGTAGACTTTGTCCATAGACTTGGAGCTGGCATTGACAGCATGGGCAAGCTCCTGTTCCATGTCCTGATAGGATTGGGCTATTTCCCGAATGCTAAAGAGAGAATTACAGATTTCATCAGCATATGCTCAAAGCAGTAGTTCTTTTCTGACTGGGTATCTCCTTTGAATACCCATCTGAATGACAACAGCAAGGATAAAGCATGAGGGGGCACAGGCTCTGGCAAAGCAGGGCAATTCTCCCTGCTGTAGTGAGCATGCATAGGCAAAGCAAGGCAGATTTCACATGAGCAACTCCAGGTGCGTATTCAATTCTGCACACAAGTTAGGATCAGTCTGAAAGACAACCTAGACGCTTTAGTATGGCCATAGTGATGTGAAAAGCAGCAGCACACACGGCAGTAACTAACTCTTCTCTGATGTGTCTCTGGGAATTTCCTCTCAGAGGCCCAGATCAAGGAGCCGAATGCTCAACTAAAGGACGAGGAGATTAGCATATAGTGACTTCCTCCACAAATCTCTGCTGAGCATCAGGGGTTACAAGAGCTCAACTTGTCATCTGAGCTCCTAGAGAGGTCTTTGTTTCATTCCTGATAAAACTCATTGATATTCAAAGATAATGGGTTCTTTCCCAATAAAAAGATTTATGCTTGCTCATGAAAGTAACTTTTTTTTTGTTCAGAATGACCTCAGGAAATTTATTCAATTTCAGTCCTCATGCAGCTGGGACAGTGCATAATGAATGATGCTATCCCCAGTGACATGGACCAGCACTACAGAAGATAAGAGTGAACAGAAATATCTCCAGGAGCAGGAAGTACGAAAGAACTTCAGGCACCAAAGCGGGGCTCTGTCCACCAAAAGCAAATTGAGTCCCACCTGTGGATCAGAGCACCTGCAGCTTGACCAAACTGGTTGATCTGGGTGGATTCTTCTTCAGACATGATCTCTGGTTGCAGAGAGAAAGAGGAGGGTCGGGACAACTCACACTTCTGTTTATCCTCCCAGGACTTCAGGGTGCTCTCAAATGCCTAAAACCACAGCAAGCAAACTATAAGATACCTTGTAAAGCTCCTATAAAAAACAGTAGCTGTGCCTGTGCCTGTAAAACATGTAGATCTGGTATAGACACTTCTCATTACAGGACTCGGTTGTTCACCTGCTTGTAACTTTGCTAACTAGCTGTTCGGGCTGAAGTTTTCCATGCCACATGCTTGCCTTGGCTTAATTTTTGCTTAAGCCCAGTTTTAGTCACAACTGCAGGCCAATTCTGAGGGCCAGACCAGCAAAACCCACCAATTCCCCACTGGTGGCAGCCTTTTCTTTGAGTAGCTGTGTCACCTCTACACTTCAGCATTACTGCGATATCTCAGAGTTGAAAACTAAGTATGTTCAAGGCTCCTCTTTATCTGGAAGTAAACTCCGCTTCCCTGGTGGGAGAAACAGCTCAACTCACAACTAGGACCTGTCCCACTTGCACCCTTACCAATATTCCTGC